TCCTTAGTTTTGCATGAGATGCAATGGTTAATGCATGTCAACTTGTTGTTTGCCCTGCTGGCCATAGTATTGCATTGCTGTCTCATGTGATGGTTGATCACTATGCCTAGGTCCCTTTCAGTCATGGTGCAAGTCAAATTGTTGCCACAGAGCCTGTAGATATGTTGGGAATTGTTTGCCCCCCAGATGGAGCACCTTATACTTCTGAGTGTTGAACTTCATCTGGCTCCAGTCTGCCCAACTCTCCAGTCTGTCCAGGTCTGCCTGTATCTGCAACTTATCATCTGGCATGACCACGCTCCCCCATAACTTGATGTTGCTTGCAAACTTGGCCAGCGAGCTTTTCACCCCCACATCCAAATCATTAATAAAAATGTTGAAAAGCACTGGCCCAAGCACGGAGCCCTGAGGGACACCACTGGCCACTTCTGCCAGGATGACACAGATCCATTCATGAGAACTCTCTGGGGCCCACCATGCAGCCAGTTTTCCACCCACTGAACTGTTGAGCAGTTAAGCCCACAATCTTCTGATTTTTGCACCAGTATATCATGGGATACTAGATCAAAAACCTTTTGGAAGTCTAGGTATATAATGTCAACGTTCTCTCCCATGTCCAGGTGGTGAGAGACCTGTTTGTAGAAGGAGGTAAGATTGGTAAGACAAGACCTACCAATGATGAAGCCATGCTGGCTGTCATTCAGAATCTTACCCTCAATGAGTGTATCGCACATAGATTCTTTAATGAGTTTTTCCAGGATTTTCCCTGGGATGGAGGTGGCCTATAGTTGCCCAGGTCCTCCCTCTTCCCCTTCTTGAAGTTGGGCACAATGTTGGCCCTCTTCCAATCCTCAGGGATCTCCCCTGTGTGCCACGATTTCTGAAAAAGTTTTGCCAGGGTTTACATGATAACCTCAGCTAGCTCCTTCAGCACTCTCAGGTGAAGTCCATCTGGTCCTGTTGACTTATAAATGTCTAGATTTTCTAGTTGGTTTTGCACCAGCTGTGCATCCATAGTGGGAAGGCTATCATTCCCACCCTGCTCACTGTGATCCTTATCTCACTTGTCTTTCCCCTTGCTCCGGTGAAATACTGAAGCAAAGTGGGCATTCAGTTGTTCAATTTTTTTCTGAGTGTCTGTTACCAGCTGTTCTGAGGTGTTATGGTGCAGTAGTCTTTAGCTGTTGCACAGTCAGCATCACAAAAAAGTCATTTGTTGACGGTACTGCGCAGTAATTTAGAACTTGTTTATACTAGTACAAGTCTAGTGTACAAACAAGTACTAAATGACTGTGCAGTAATGACTGCACAGTCAGCATCTTGTGTAGACGTGGGCAGTGTGTCTATTAGATGTGCTTTGGATGAGAGTCTAGTTTTATTCCACAGTTGAAACAAATGGCATGCAAATGTGCTGTATCCCCCACAAACAAGCCCAGGATGTTAAAGTCAGAATTCCTCAAAAATATTACATTATTAAATGCACTTGACTGATCAGAACATCCACATGAAATACGTATAAAGAAGCCTTGCATACAGGGTTACCAACTGTCAATAAAAACTTAGTCCAAAAATGGTTGTCAGTAAAGTCCATAAAAACCAAAAACTGTAGCTGTCAGTCAAAAAACAAAGCAGCCACAGCTTGATAAAAATTCCAACAGATGGAGCACAGCAGCAACACCTAGTGTCTTAAGCAGGAGTGCAGCACCCTACAGGGAACATTCTCTCAGCCATGTGTTTCTGCTGCTGCATTCCAGGCTGCCTATACTACTGCTGGGATGTAACTAGGCTTCTTTGGGGGTCTGTGTTGGGATAAGGGGAACAGCACTGGTGAAGGGAAGGCTGCACTGTAGGTTGCAGAGCAGCATGCAGTCATGGGCATCAGAATATGGGGGCCTCTGGCCATTGTGGAGGGGGGGCAGCACACTGTAAAAACTATTACTGCAGTCAAGCGGGGTTGCCAACCTAATAACTTTTTTTTTATTAAAAACTTTTTACTAACAACCAAAGTTTTTTTTATCATGGTTGATGTTAAACCTCTGAATTTGAACCCAGTCTTCCTAACTGGGACCTGGAAGTAAGACAAGGCCTGGCAGAAAAGTTATATTTACATTATGTAAAACATATATCAGTAAAAACATATATCTGTTAAAACAAAGTTTAGCTATCAGTAAACTGCTTAGAATTTGTCAGTAAAAAACATCTTGGGTTGGTAACCCTGCTTGTATACTGAGATCCAGTTTACAGAGAATAAGTCATTCTTAGCAAGCACACACTTGAAACAGCTCTGGCAGTAATTCTTCATTATCCCCAGAAAAACAAGAGCACCCACTTGCTTCCCTTTTGTCAGCTGCTCAGTAAGCTGAGTCTTACTTCCATATCACAACTTCTCTTTTTTCTTTCCACTTTCATCCAAAAGGATTTCCTTCTACATGTGCTTTCTTTCTGTAGCAAAGCTATATATAGAATCATAGAATAATGGAAAATTAGGGTTGGAAGGGACCAGTCTTGTCCCACTTGGGCTCTCTGGAGCCCCGCCTCACTCTGTACCTCACGGTGCTCAATGGGAGTCACTGCCCCTCTCTCTCTGGGGCTTCTCGCTGCCCTCTCTCTGGGGCTTCTCACTCACCCCGCGCCCCACTGGTGCTCAGGTTCTCCACGACCTTTTTTGTTCTGCCTTCCGGGGTACTCAGGGTCAGCCCTCTCCCAATACTGTGCCTTTGCCTTGGCGCTCGGGGATGACACCTCCCCCTCTGCTGTGCCCTTGCGGACGCTCTGGGTCAACACCCTCCCTGCACTGTGCTTTCTGGCTAAAACGTGCTCCGAACCACACCACAGGTGTTCCATCTCTCACCCATGTCACTAGCTGCTCGCACATCCAGGCCTTTTCCTTTTCACACATTCAGGGCCGAGCTGCTTTCTCCTTGGCCGCAGGCTGCCCTCCTCTCTCTGGGCTCTGGCCTGCGATTTATGTCTAAGCCAGGCCCTGCCCCTTTCATTCAGCTGACCAAACAGATGTGTGTCCTTAGCTCCGCAACCAGCACCTGAGCCACTACTCTGGCTTTCCAAGTAGCAGGCACCTTAGTGCCCTGCTACAGAGAGGTATAGGCTTCCTTGATCATAGGACTGTAATTGTGGAAGATCCTTTTATAGTCTATGCACCTCTGTTAGGACCATGACCAAAAAAAGTCTAACACTGAATCTGTGACCAGATTATAAAAAATATTATTACCCAATACAAAATATTCAGAGAAGGGAGTTGCTGTTATGATTTCTTGGTGGTGTCAGCAACGAAGTTGAAATATTTTGCTGTAAAAATAATAGGTTTGTGTTTAAAGGATGAACTGTCTAATCCAATGAAGTTATATCAGGGCTCTCACCTAGATGACTCCCAATTTTGCTGTCAGTACAGACATCTATTGTCTCCTGGGGGTGTATATGAGGCTTTCAGAATGAAGTTTTTCATCTTGTTAGAATACAAAACGTACAGCATTGAGTATCCAGGTTGCTTGTAATTCAGTAGGTTCTTCTAGCTTTTGGCTTTCCATTGTGTGACTTGAATGACTTTAATGGGAAGGCTTTAATTTTTTTGTTTAATTTTTTTGAAAATCCTTTGAAAATATGTCTGTAAAACCAAAGGAAAATTATTCTATATGCAAAATCTCTTTCATTTCTAATTGTAGCTGGTTGGTTCTAAATATTTTTGAACCAGGAATTTTGTAAATGATTTAAATATGTAAAAGTGAAATAATCATAATAAGCAGCACTTCTCTAGAGCAATTTTAATTTAAATGCCTCTGAGCCATTGAGCAAAAAGGTCTGGCTCATGATCTGGAAGGACATTTAAAAATCCTGATTAAAATTTGTGGATGACACAAAGTTGGACAGGGTGGTAAGTAATGATAGAGGGCGGCAGAGTCATACAGAGATATCTGGATCATGAGGTAAACCATACTCATTCAAACAAACTCTATTGACACAACCAAAGACAAAGTTCTACATAGGAACCAGGAATGCAAGCCATTGCCACAAATCAAGGGACTAAGAAGCAATGATAACTGGAAAGTTTTAAGGGTTACACATGGATGAACCAAGTCGATATGAGCTCCTAATAAAATGCTGTGGCAGAAGTGAGACCATTGGATGTATGAAGAGGAGAGCAGTAAGTAGAAGAAGGGAGGTGATTTAACCTCTATATATGATACTGGTGAAACCAAGAAAAATATTTCCTCCACTTACAGTCTACACATCTTTAAAAGGAAAACTGGAAAAAATGATGATGGTGCAGAAGAGGACTATGAGGTCTGGCCTTACAGTGAGAGACTGAAATAACTCAATCTATTTAACTTATTAGAAAGAAGACTGAGATATGACCTGATTACAGTGTGGGAGTACATGCAAAAAACAAGTCTAGTTTTAAGAATTCTTCAATATAGCAGAAAAGGCTAGATATACTTTAGTTAGAAATAAGTAATTATTAATAGTGAGGAAGATTAACTAGCGGAACAAACTTCCAAGGGAAGTGTAGATTGTCTATTGCAAGACTTCAAATTAGGACTGCATGTCTTTCTAGATGATATGGGTTAATCAGATACAAATTATTAGGCTCAACAAATGGATAACTGGGTGGAATTTTACAGTTTAGTATACAGGAAGGCAGACTAGGTGATCAAATGTTTCCTTTTGGCCTTAAAAATATATGAATAAAGTAGGAAAGAAGGGCTAATATCATATTGTAGTTTGGAGGACAGATGCAGAAAGAGTCAGAGAATTGCCTAATGCCATATGGTATATCAGGGCCAGAGCTAGTACTACAAATCAAAATGAACCCTCAGATTTTGTGATTTTAGTACCTACAGCATGTTAAACACAGCTAGACTTTGAATTTTAAAATGGCATATCTTTAGGATGAGACTTCTCTTTGGAAATGACTGAAATAAAAATTTCTGTTCAGCAGGAAGGGTGTAAAAATGTTAACGATCACTTTATATTTTTATTGCTAGATCTACAGTGGAAGTCTGGGCACATGGCAGAGAGTCTAACAAATATGCCTCGTCATTCCCTTTATATCATAATTGGTGCCCTCTGCGTTGCATTTGTTCTCATGCTGATCATTCTGATTGTGGGCATATGTCGTATCAGCCGCATTGAATACCAAGGCTCTTCCAGGCCAGCCTACGAGGAGTTTTACAACTGCAGAAGCATCGATAGTGAATTCAGTAGTGCAATTGCATCTATCCGACATGCCAGGTTTGTTGTGTGGGGAAGGGAAAGTATCTCTTTGCTATATGTACTTCCAGTGCTGATGTAGTCACATAGCATCCACTAATTGCTAGTGAGAAATCTAAAGGTTGTACCAATTTGATACTGGACGGTGGCTTCATTTCCATTCCTTTCTTTAGTTCAAGGCACTTCATCTGAAGTCAGTAGAATTGTTCTGGATTTATTGGATTTGTAGTGTATTTGGGGGGTAGGATGTATACCTTTTTACCAGTCATTGATATCTTACAGTTTGGGAAATATCTTTTTTTAGTTTCTAAATCTTTCTTCATTTACATCAATGGGGGCCAAACTGTTTGGCAGGCATGCCACAAATTAGCCCTGCACTGTTCCTGACGGCCAATGTAAGCCTTTTCCTCTGCCTGATCTGCTGCTGTGCTTTTTGTTCTTTACTCTGTGCTCCCCACCATGTGCTCTCCTGCTCTGCTTTCTGTTTCCTCCTCTGTGTTTCCTGCCTGATCTCCAGCTTTGCATTTTTTTCCTGCCTGATTTGATGCTATTCTTCCTGTCCCCTCCTTGATCTGTTGCATGCTGCACACAGAAGATGCCTATGCCGCTTGTGCTGCAGATTGGCTGCTTTAGATGTAGTCACCTATTTTTGAATATGTATTGGTATTGCTGCACATAATTTAAAAAATAATTTTGCAGTCAAAACAAAAGTTTCACAAAAGATTAATTAAAATACTAATGATTACTTGTTTTGAGACTAAATCACTAGACCATATCCTGTATAACTCTGGCCAACTGCTACCCTCTGAAGTTCTTGAAGAAGGCAGATTAATTATAGAAGGGGTTTGAAAAAAAAGTTGCACACATTTTGTTCAACATAGTCTAAATAAAATGGTCTAAATAAAATCAAAGTATTTCAAATCAAATGTTGAGTGAAATGCACCTGAAATTAAAATGTGTAATTCAGAACAGGTATTTGTGATCTGGTAATGATAGGTATCTTGCTGATGCATTTACTGTGGGAAACTATTGTATTAGTTTGTAAATTGGTTTCCATTTTGCTGTAGCACTGGATTTAACAAATGCAAAAATTTTTGTTTAGAGCAAATGTACATAAATTGAGTATTTAATTTCAGTATTCAGTCAAATTTCAAAGAATTGGACATGGTATTAGTCTGCAGCTAAGTTAGAAGGCGAATAATGACCAAAGAAACTAGAGATAATTACATATATCATATGTGATCATTTTAAACAGCAAGTTAAAAGCACCAGTTATCAGTACAAATGAGGATGGGAACTTTCTATCTTTCTTACCATGGCTGCTTGCTCCCTGGCTTTCTGGGATGCTGGCATTTCTTGCTACCTTGAGTTTTTTTCTTCCTTAACAATTCCAGCACTCCCTGTACATCTCTTTAGCTATTTCTCTAAATGTTGCCAGTCATCTGCCATGGTCTATGAGTAACATACCAGTCAGGGATTGCCAGGGTGGACCATGGTTTGACTGTGCCAATTCTGGTCCAATCTATCCCCTACAGCAGAAATTGCACAATGGGTGGTGTTTGACTCAGCTATGACAGCTCTAGACCATCCGTATCCACCAAGAGAATCATCTGCTGAGGAAATCTGGCTGGTCCTATGGTACTGATTGGAGAAAAAAGAGACTCAGAATTGAAACCCAGAGACTAGCTCAGCTAGGAGGTTCAGCACTGAGGAAGATGCCTCCAACATGGGTTCTCTTCCTGCTTAAAACATTGTAGACCAGGAATAATTCCATTGAGGACAGTGAAGTACACAGACATAAAATAGGTGCAAATGAATTTAGACACTTTACATCCTTCAGTAATTGTCTTCCTTATTTTGTACTGAGTTCTATAAAGGAAGCCAATTCCTAGTAGTTATGTCAAATATTTTGTTTGCTTTGCTAATTATGATTTTCAACTTGATGCCCAAGGTATGAAGGGCTTGACTCTGATCTTGCTCTTATACCAGAACAATTACATTGATTTCTTGGGATTACTCTTGATTTACATTAGTATAACCAAGACCTAACTTGGGCTCTGGCTCTTGGCATATGAAGCAGAAGTTATAGGGAAAGATCTGTGTCTAGATGCAATGGGGTAATTGAGAAAGGAGCTCTAACTTGAATTCATTGGCTACCCATCCAAGAATAAGGCTATGACCTCTTTGTTACTTAAGAATTACTATGTTGTCCTTTTCTAATCAGTTGAATATCTGATACCACCATAGATCACTCAGCTGGTGCTGAAGAATGTTTCTTGTTCATAATTTCTGGAGACAAGGCATACCAACTCTGAAAATTCTTTGGGAATAAGTTAATGTAGTCCTACAAATGATTCCCCTGCTACTGACATAGCTGTCTCCTTTTATTTTTAAGCATCTTTGTTAAATTATCTTTGTCCTTAAATAAATCCAAAATACTAAAAGCCAAAAAGAAGGTATAAAAATATTAAAACATGCTTTTTATTACATAGCAGAGGTCATAACAGAGATTGATTTGATCTAATTTAGTTATAAGATGGATCAATCTGAAAAGCATCAGTGACTGCATTTGAAATAAGATGCATCTAGAAACAGTAAGCCTGAATTAAATAAAAATATGTTAATGACACCCCATTGATATAAAACAAAAGCCAGTGAGGAGTGTTTTGCAGTGAATGACCAGCATAGTAAACGGCCAATTTTCAGAAAATCATTCCATACTTTTGAAGGTCAGGCTTCCAAAATCAGTTGTTACCTGATTTATCTGGTTCAAGATTTTTGCCGGTAAAGCAGTATAGTGCTGTAGGGAGCTAATAATTGATTTTACATATTTACTCACAAAATCCCTTCTGCTGCTTATCTGGAAGTGCCATTGAGAATTAGGATGCTAAGCAAAATAATTATTTAGTAATGTCCTGTTTTATGGCCAGATAGTCCCAGATTTCAGTTTCTTATTCAGTACAAAAGAGTTCTCCCAGAAGCAAGCAGAAGAATATATTGGTCTTATTGGGTCTTGAGGTCTTATTTAACAATCCAGTGCAGTCAAATGTTTAATTGTAGTGCTTGGAAATCATTAACTACTTAGTACTGTGGTCACTTAAGTCCTTTTCTTGAAGCTTGTTCTCTGCCCTGCTTAGCATCTCTTCCACAGTAAACCTTACAACCCCTAATCATATCTGTTCTTTTCTTGCTATTTCCTGGATGGGCAATAGTTCTTCCACCTGTTTATCGTAAAAAAGATGTGGATGTCTATCATGCTTATCCAACTTGAGGGGAGAGGGTTGTAAATATCCCTTTTCCCAGCCCTACATTCCTGCTTTTCCAGTCAGTAATATTTCACTTCTTTAAAAGTCTTAAGATGATTTCCTAAGTTATAATGCTGAATACCTTAGGTTTCCCTAGTTATTTCCTTGAGGTTGTTTGGAACCTCTTCAGAAAGAGAAGGTGGGATAGGGAGTACCATATGTACACAAATTTATGAGGATTTAAGACCACCCCCAATAATTAGATTCTATACATAGAAAATGTATACATTTGTTATAATTTTCCATGTATAGAATCTAATTATTGGGGTCATCTTAAAAGTGTCCCTCCCCCCACTACTGCAGGTGGTGGGGGAAAAGGCATCAAAGGGGGCAGTAATGGGACAGGAGGTGGCTGGACAGATAGTGGGGGAGGCAGTGAGGGGGCACATGATGGGGAAGGCAGGGGAAAGTAATGGGACAGGCAGTGGAAGGGGCAGTGGGGAGTGGGACAGGATTGGCACCCGAGGACTGCTGTGGTGCCCCTTGGTGGCTGCTCTGATTCTGTCAGGCCCTTGCTTCTGGCTCCCAGGGTCTCACCTAGCTTCCTTGCCCTACCATACCTTGCTGTTGAGAGTAATGAGGGGAGGGTGCCCTTGGAAGCTGGTGAGCCTAGGTGCTCTCTCAGTCTCTCTCTATCTCAGTATGCATTCCCTCAGGTCCTATGCACCTTAAGGGCTAAATTTGTGGCCTCCTTCCACCCCTACAGCCATGCCAGTGCCTTGCAGGTATTACTCCATTGCCTTTTTTGATCTCTTGTTAGGCCTCAGCTTTACTAAATTCACCCTCCGGGTTACTCTGGATGTCCTTGTTATCAAGCAGTTTTCCCTATCTGTACATAGCTAGTCTTCTCAAGATGTAACACATCCTTTAGTGTATACTTTCATACACCAAATAGTTGGAGCTTGTTGATCCTTTTATTATAAGTCATGTTTTCAAGTCCTTTAGTCATTTTCATGGCTCTCTTCTGAAGCTTCTCTAGTTTGTCAATATCTTTGAAGTGTGGACAACATAACTGAACACAGTATTAAGTTATATATACATACCAGTAATAGAACCCCACATTTGATCACCCCTTGTTTATGTACTGAAAGATTCCATTAGCCTTTTAGGTGTCAACATTGCTCTCAACTCATATTCACGTGATTATCCAGTTTGAATTTTCAGTCAGTCTTTTCCAATCATTGCTTCTTAGGACAGGATCTCCTAGCCAGGAAGAATGGGTCTGCATGCTTTGTTCCTAGATGTAGGACTTTACATTTGGCTATATTAAATACAATTTTTTTTATTTGCACCCAGGTTGCCAAATGTGTGGGTGAGTAGTTCAAACTGTGTCATCTGCAACTTTTTAGTTATAATGTTGTATTTCAGGTCGTTAATAACATTATTCTATTGCACATGGCCAGCAACTGATTAGTGTGGGGCCCTGCTAGAAATGCACCCATTTGATGATGATTTCCCATTTACATTTATATTTATATTTTGAGTCATATTATGTATTGGAAAACACAGTATTCTGGGCCCAGCTTCTGAATTTACTGATCAAAGGAATGTGGTCTACCAGCTAAAAGGCTGAGCCAGGCCACAAAGAACTAGCATATGCTCTGTGGTCTTCTCTCAGCTTGTGCTAATTAAGAGCACATGTCAACACCGACCTTCCAGGAGAACAGATCTTGTACTGTATCACATGTGCAACCAGCAGCGTGTTCTTTACACCTATGGAAAATGGCAGTATTTGACCTTAGCTCTTTAACAAGTTTGTTCCTTGTCTCATGTCTAAAAAAAGATCAGTTTACCTAAACTTCCTGATATCCCTGAGAATGATGGAGAAAAGGGGTGGTTCAGAAATTCAACTTTAGCATTATTAACAAAGGGTGCAAGGCTTGGTCCTCTCTGTTTTGGAATAACATTTCATCTCCAAAGGTAAAATTATCTCTGATGGAAGTTGGTGTATAACCAAGGTCCAGCCTTTGTGTAATATAGACTTTAGCGTCAGCTGAAAGACAATAGCACGATGCAGTTTCATGCCAAAGGGTCCTTGGAAGTATTTTTCTTGTTATTTGTATTTATTCAGACTAGTAGTTGTCCACATGCCTTGCTTTTAATGGAAAGATCAAGAAATCTATATCACCAAAACTAGCCATGAAAAATCATGGCAAAGAAAAAATTGCATAAAATGCTTAACTAACATAGGATTGCTTTTATTTTATTTGATTTGATTTAGCTGAAATAATATCTCTATTTTATTTACATTTTCTTGGTCACATTTTCCACTGTAAATAAATTACACCAATATAAAGCCACCAGCGTACACAGGAGGAAGCTAAACAGAACAGTAACATGAGAAGAATCCTTTCTATGGAGGATTGCTTAGATGAGAGATCTTCTTTATCAGTTTGTGGATCTTTGGTATATGAGCCCTACCAAGAAAGTAGTCCTAGTGCTGATTACGGGTGTGTCTGCATAGCATATTCATTGTTCCAGGCATGGACATATTCAAATACACCAAACCGCTTCATGTGTGTTAACCAAACTGGAACTAGCATAGCTGCAGGTGAACTATTTAGCAGTGCTTCTAACTCTTGTGAATGCAACTAACAATTCAGGACATGGCACAGAGTACTATGTTTGAGGGCGTCCTACCAAGCATGATAAGTTTATGGTATAAACTCTCTGATTCCTATATCCTATTTATTTATGTATAGTTCCTGGAATAACTCTTAAAGCAATATTTCTGAAGACATTTGACCATTTTCTAGCCATATTTACAGCTGTTCATGAGTGCGACCAATTAATGGTACAATGCAGCAGCAATTGGATATACCTGAATTAACTCTGAATGAGTTAGCACAGATACTGATTGCAGTACAGCCATAGTAGAATGATACTCTCTCCCCAGGCTAGGTAGCCTTGCCAAATGGTACAGGATATACTGTATTTTCTTGCGTACCACATGTACCTTTTTTCAAAATTCAGCTGTTGGAAATTGCAGAGTGCATTATAAGCAAGGAAACGTGATAATAGCAGTTTCTGTGTCTGCCTGAGAAAAGCAAAAGAAAGCTAGAGTGCTGTACATGTGGTTCCATAGCTACTTGCTGTGGACACTAGTGCAAAAGCTGCTACTCAGTTCCCTGCTGTTTTTTACCAGTATTTTCAAGGAAAGTTCTTTTATTTTTTTTCTGCCCTTCAGAAATGAAATCTATATCTTACTAGGGCGGGAGTGTTGTATGTGAGAGAATGTGGTCTTAACTCAAGCAGACCACTAGTGAACATGATTGTACTGCTTCTAGTACCTACCTTAGCTTGCTCAGTTCTAGGCCTGGTATTTATGCAGTCTTACATTGTGCCATGAAGACATTCCCCAAAAGACATTAATGCTTTATCAAGTAAAGGCAGAAGATCCTGGTAGCTTCTACCTGCCTTTCAAATGGCTACCCATTCTACAAATCCATAATGAGTTAATTATTGTATACTTTGCCTGCCAATTCAGAATTCAACCTTTGTAGTTGCTGTTTTTTCAATGAGAAAGATGAAAACACCTATGGGGAAGTTTACATATGACATCTGATGTCAACAGTGTTGTTTGCTAGAACAACTCGTAAATTGAAATTTTGACTTTGTGGATTTCAGTAGGGCTAGAATTTCACCTTAACATCTAGTTTTAAGTCTATCAAATTCAGAGATAAAAGTCCCACAAGAATGTGTAGAATCTCTCCTTTACTCGATTTGGGAATGCATGATCCATGTACTTCAAACATTATAGTAATTTTGATCTTCTTAGTATTAACTGCAAGAAATGTTGCAATTGCTTTAGAATCTACTTGCTTGTCTTGCAGTCCTTTTTGACAGTAAGGCGGGTTAATGGATTACTGAAATTGATTTCAACAGACTTCTGTTTGTCACCAAAGCCTGTTCTCTTCTGCTTTTAGGTTTGGAAAGAAATCCCGGCCTGCAATGTATGATGCAACCCCCATTGCTTATGAAGATTATAGCCCGGATGACAAACCTTTGGTTACACTGATTAAAACAAAAGATTTATAATCTACTGTATCTTTTTTGGATTATTTTTCAAAAGGATGGGCTACCAAATTAATTTAAATATTTTTAAGAAGAAAGCATAAGAAATTAAAAACATTAGATGTTACAGAATTTTCTGTAGAATATTTAAGAACTAATTTTCTGCAGCTTTTAGTTTGAGAAAAATATTTTAAAACTGAATTCGTGAAGTTCATGAATTGCATTTTAATGTACTTTCAGCTCTATAAACTGTAAGCTTATAATAGTGTGTGCTTTTTCATGGTAGACACTATTACTCAACCCAGATGAGCTTCTGTGGTTGTAACAGAATAGAAAAACAGTAACTGATGAAGAGTTTCTTTTTGACATTTCAGTGCCAGCTTTCTCAGTAGAGTTAGGAAAAAAATGTGAAGCATAATAGGATGCATAATATATCCATTAATTTAAAAAGTCTAAAATGTTTGTGTTGTGAAAAAGAAACTAGTAAAATTTATTATTACTAATCTGAATGAATTAGCGTTTGCCTTATTCCGTGCATGGATAGATGAACTTACTTCTGCATTATTTTCCTGAAAGTTGCTGAAACATATTCTTGAGTTGATGTTAGTCATTTTTGTAATAGTCTTCAAGGTAGGCCTTGTAAAATAATATATAATTAAAATGCCTCTGGAGGCAAACAGGAGGCCAGATCCTCTACCCATTGAATTATTGGCGGAATTTACAGTGCCTTCATTGTGTGCAGGATTTGGCTCTAGGATTGGACTGAATCTATATTTTTCTTTAAAAGTCAAGGTTTTTTATATTGTGAGTAAAATAAGCATATGGTTTGAGCTGTTTGTTTCTCAAAGGTTGTTAATGTACAGTATTGTTTCATTAAATATTGTGTATTTCTCATAGTGAATCTTATTTATAGACAGTATGGTTTTTTCTGTGGCTGTATTTGATTGCGTATGTATTTCTTCAGATTCTTGCTTATTTCAGAAAATATTGAATAAATGTTATCAAGCCAAAGTTGCAGCTGATCATTTTGATTTCATGTTCCTTGAAACGTATACATTAAAAGCACCTGAGTAATCCCTTACAATACCAAAAGAAGACTAGTTACTTACAGCTGCTGTCTTGAAAACAAGAAAAGCTCTGTATCCTGGGATGTGGGAGACCCAGATTAAAGTCCCTGTTTATCCTGATTCATAGTGATCTGTGATAGAAAATCCTGCTCTGAATCAGGCAGAACCAGGAAACTGGGTCTTTGACATCCCAGGTTAGTGCCCTAATCCAGAGGCAATATGTGTTTGTTTTCATTTCAGTGCAGAATAAAAATAGCTGTTAAAACCTCAAAAGTTGCTGCAAAACAGAACTTGAGCCATCTGGCCAGCTCAAGACATTAGCACTCAATGAGTGTGGTCACAGTGAGTTTAATGGACTCAGATTATCTGTAGGAGCAAAAACACAATGCTTCCGAAGTTATCTGAAACAAGAACAAAGATATTCTTGGTCTAATCTTTCAAAAGGAAAAGAAATAAAGTGCCTCTAAGTGGGTTCCAGTCCTGCAATTCAGCCTACACAGGAAGCACCCAGCATCTGCATAGAGTCAGCTGCAAGTCTGGGACTAGAGAAAGTCTGACACAAAAAGATGCACTTGTATGGCATTGGTTCTTTCCTTGAGAAGCCCCCTCATGAAGTAGGACGGTATGCACATCAGAATGGAAGTTAAATGGCACAGATGCCTGAAGAAAGTTTGGCACAATGCCTAGTCTAGGTCGAGACAGCATTATTACTTCCTCACTTCTGCAATCACAAAAAAAATCAGTGCTTTTCATGTAATCAGATAAATCAAGAAAAGAGTCTGCCTTCTTCTTAGTGGCAACTGCAGAAGAGAATGGGATATAGATTAACTTAGTCTATTCCAAGTCCCTTGCAAAGTATCCTCTTAATAGTGATTCAGGCCAGGTACACACATTGCACTTAGCATGTTAAGTGCACAGAAAGTGCTTTAAAACTGTAACTGATCAGATGTTCACAGCACTGAAAGTGCTTAATCTAAGTTAACCCTCAATGAATGTGGTTTTGGACTAAAGCACTTTAGTTTAGAGTGCTTTTTTGCACATCTGTACCACATCCATCTCACTTCAATGTAGGTCACATTCTGCTGCCATCCCAGGGGCCCGTCACTGAGCAGTTTACTAGTGTTGGCCAGTGCTTGTCAGCTCCTGGGCAAAGGACAGACATTACATATAAATCAGTTTAAATGATCAGAACCTGGTTTAAACAGAACAGACATTCAGTGCACATAAACTAGTTTGAAAATGGCTGAAACCAGTTTGAGATAAACCTGGTTGAATGTAGTAGCTGGCCCAGAGGACGAGGAGGGGATATGGCAGGGGACTTCAGCTTTTCCTCTCCCTCCTTCCCCCCACCTCGCATGGGGCAGAGGACTTCAGCTTCTCCTCTCCCTTCTTCTCCCCTTCCCTCCCTCTTTCCTCCCTTCCCTCAGCCCTAGTACCGGCAGCCACAGCTTGGTCTGTGCTCGAGCCATCCCCTCCCAGCAGGAGGCTTATTCCTCTGGATGCTGCCCCAAACCCAGACTGAGTGGTGGCTGACCAGCAGCCTGACTTCTCAGAACAGGAGGGGAGAGAGTTCCTCTTCTCAGCCTAGACGCTGAGGGGAGGGGGGAAGGAGGGAGAGAAGCTGAAGTCCCCATGCTCCCTTTCAGCAGGCCCAGAGGATGAGAAGGGGATGTGGCAGGGGACTTCAGCTTCTCTTCTTCCTCCTCCCCCCTCCCCTTAGTTGACTCGGAGAAGGGGACATGGCAATGGACTCTCCAGCTCTGCTCCCAGCTCAGGGAGGGGGTGGAGCTAAGCTCCAATACAGGCTCCTGGATCCTCCCAGCCAGCCCTGAGGCTGAGAAGTGGAACTCTCTCCCCTTCTCTGCTGAGAGGTCAGGCTGCTGGGCAACCACCACTCCATCTGCACTCAGGGCAGTATCCAGAGGAATAAGTCCCCTCCTGCCAGGAGGGTACCAGGGCAGCAGCCTGACTTTACAGCACAGGATGGGAGACAGTTCCTCTTCTCAGCTCTTCTGGCTTAGCACAGGTCGAGTGGTGGCTGCTGGTACCTGGGTTGAGGGGAGGGAGGTGGGGAAGAAGAGAGGAGAAGCTGAAGTCCTCTGCCATGTCCCCTTCTCATTCTCTGACCCAGCTGAGAGGGGGGTATGGCTCCCAGCTCTGGGTAGAGAGCCAAGCCCTGCTGTGGGCTTCTGCCCCCCACACGCCCCACTGGCCTCAGTCAGCCCAGGTTGAGAAAGGGATGTGGCAGGGGACTCCAGCCCTCCAGTGGTAGGGCGGGGGCACAGCCAGACAGGGCCCCTTGCGGGGGGGGGGCAGGGACGGGGTTATTCTTCCTCCCTTCAGGGTCCAGTGGAGGGGACAGCAGGGGGTCTATTCCCTCGCAGTGAGGGAGCATGGCAGTGGTGGCAGCAGGCAGACCCAGCTGCCAGTGCAGGTAGAGGGGTGACTAACTCTGCTCTCTGCCCCCCTCTGCCTCAGTGGCCATGATGCGCTGCTGCTGCAGCAACAAGGGGGGAGTGCCTGGCAGACCGGCTCAGGTCCCTGTTTGCGGGATAGAGAGGGGGAATTAAACCCCTCCCTGGCCAATTCAGCCCAGACTGGGCACACCCCACCCCAACATAGTTTCCCTGCAGCTGAGAGCATTTTCTAGCATCTCCTGGTTCCTGGCCTGAGCAACTCTCCCTGCACATTGCCTATGGCCTTAGTGAGGCTGCTGCTGGAGTACTGTGTCCAGTTTTGGGCCCCCCACTTCAGGAGGAATGTGGGTAAGTTCAAGAGAGTCCAGAGGAGAGCCACTCTTATGATCAAAGGCCAAGAGAGCAAGCCTTATGAGGAGAGGCTGAGGGACATGGGACATCTTCAGCCTGGTGAAGAGAATGCTCAGGGGGGACTTGGTGGCTGCCTATAAGTATATAAGGGAGGGGTGTATCAGGATCCAGGAGAACCAGAGATCCCCAAGGGATAACTAGGTCTAACAGCCACAAGCTTCTAGAAGGCCGATTCAGACTCGATATAAGGAAAAAGCTTCTTTACAGTCCGAGTGTCCAAGATCTGGAACAGACTCCCTCCAGAGGTGGTGCAAGCACCTACTCTGGACTCATTCAAAAGGCATTTGGATGTTTATCTTGCTGGGATCACTTGATCCCTGCAGATTTCCTACTGCTGGCAGGGGAGCTGGACTCAATGATCTCATGAGGTCCCTTTCAGCCCCTAATGTCTATGAAATCTATGAACTGCAGGCATGTGCTCACAATTCCTCAGTCAGAGAGAATGTTTGTCCTGTTACAGACTGGTTTAACCTAGGCAGGTTAGACTAACCTGGAAAGGTTGAATCAAGTAATTCTCTGGCTCTTTGAATGTCTGTCCCTGGTGAGCACTGGCCCAGCCCCACCCCTGGGCTGTCACAGATAGGAGACAAAAAAGGCTCTGTCTCCTGGAGGAGTATGTGAGAGTCTCTCTGCCCTGTGGACCCCACAAGCTTGAGGGCTCAGTTTTTGATTGGGGGCAGGCCAGGTCCACATGGCAGAGAGGCTTTTTCTTCCCCCCCGCCCCCAAACCTAGTTCCTGGTGTGGCAAAAGCTGCGCTGAGCCCCACACTTTACTTCTGACTGCTGTTGTCAGGAGGCTCAGTGGGAGGGTAGGGTGGGAAGGGAGAATCTGTGCCATGTGGACCCAACCCAGCCTTCCCCTCAAGACCCCAGCCAGTGAGCTGTGGGGGGAGGGGCTTGTGATGGGGGGCTCTGTTCCCCCCATCCCATGCCAGCTGATGCTGACAGTCACCAGCTGATGGGGGGAGGAGGCAGGGCTTGGGAGAGACTCTGGCATCCTCCTGAGAGGGATACGCGACTGTCTTCCACCTGCTGGCTTTGGCCAGTGCAGGCAGACACCAAACCTCCCCACTGAACAGTGAATGTCTGTTTGGTTTATTCCTGCTCTAACTTATAGCACTTTAAGTAAAGTGAGATACAGCACTTCTATGAGAGGCTTTTTGAACATCTGCACTTAGATGAAGTGTTGCAAGTTTCCCATTCCCTGGTGAGCAAAGGTTGCATATGCAACTGGGTATAGGCTACTAGGCTTGTGCACAAAGGGACCTCACTGCTGGCTGTGTAACCATTAGGGGTGTGCAAAATGGGCCATATTTGATTCGGATTCAGATTCAGTGTGAATTGGGGACAGTGATTCGATTAGTTGATTTGGATCACTGTCCCCGATTCAATTTAGTCAAATCTGAATCTGAAGATTTGATGGTGATTCAGAGAATCAACAATTCGGCCATAGGCACAGCTTTAAATGTTTTTTCTACATACTTCAAGGTACCAGGCATGGCTCATGAATATTGCAATGGTGGAGTGGATGGAGCGTCCCACAGGAGTGGGGTGAGGGGCGGGGAGGAGGCGTGCGCTCAGCGGTGAGCCTGGAAGTTGACCGGAAGTACTTCTGGTCCACTTTCAGGTCCACTGGCAAGCACTTGGGGGGGCCCCCTGCACTCCTCTTCTCCCCCGGCTCCCTGATCAGCTGTGGGGGACCCTGGGTGCCCTCCCCAGATCCAGGAGGCACCAGTTGCCAATCCAGGGGGGACGGGGGGCGGCCTGCAATGTGCTTCCTGTTGGACCTGGAAGTGGACCAGAAGTGCTTCTGATCCACTTCTGGGTCTGCTGCTGAGCGCTGTGGGGACTCCCCCATGCTCCTGTGGGATGCTCCATCTGTCCCAGCATTCACAAACTGCCTGCTATCTTGAGATGTGTAGAAAAAACATTTAAAGCTGTGTTTATGTCCAAATCGTCGAATCTCTCTGAATTATTTTGGAGGGCTCCAATTCGCTTCAGAGAGATTAAAGGGTCTCCTGATTCAATTCGGATTTGGAGATTCAGCCACCAAATCGAGCTGAATCTCTGCCAAATCAAATCAGCGGCGGAAGCTTCACACAGCCCTAGTA